CACCTGCCAATATATACTTTACAGCATCACTTCAATTACCAGCCCATAAAAATGTCCTCTTAAATTAAGCTTCATTACTCAAGGAAGCATCACAGGTATTTTTCCAGGGGTAAACAGACTTTTAAAGAGCTAGTTGTTATCATTTCATATTTTACAGATAAGGAAACTGAAGATCAGAGAAGTTAAACTATCATGCCATGGTCATGTATAACTAGAAAGTAATGATGTTTGTAATCAAGCTGCATTTTATTTTTCTTTAGAATGCATGCTTCTCAACTTCACCACATGGGCTAGAAAGGAGAATAGTATAATCTTCGTGTCCTGAGAAGATAATGACCTAACTCTGGTAGAAGTAGTAATGAAAAGGAAGCAGTGGATATAAGCATGTCTCAAAGAAGGGAAGCCACCTGATTAGCTGTGGAGTAAGAAGCAAGGGATTAAGAAAAGTCACCTATAATACTTTATCTTCCAGCCTGGAGGACTGGAAAGTTGAGAGAGGAAGCTTATGTATATGCAGATGAGGGAAGAGCCAGAAAAGGGCACAGAGCCAGGTAGAGTAGAGGCATAATATGTCTGTACTTGATCTCATCTCTAGGTTTAGAAGCGTTTGGAAAAGAATAATTTTGCCCATTTATGTGCAAATCTCCAGCATCCATTCTTATACCCATCACGTCTGGTAATTACAGAGATGTGATTTGCATTAGGACCAGATGCAGAGATCTATTGACACAAAGAAGACACCTGATAATTACAAGAGTTCAAATGCAGCCAATCAGTGAATACAGACTGGAGAAAGCAACAATTGCCAATGGAAAGCTCGCCAAAACAGACGAGTCTGGCTGACAGAAGAAGAAAAAGCCTTTTATTTAGAAAAAGTATAAAATAAATTGCACCCCCCTTTTTTTTTTTTGTCTCTACCTTTCATAGAAAGATTGTCCTGAAAGGCAGACTCCCTCTTTTAATGAGATTCTGGAAAGACAAAATAGCTGATTAGCCCCAGCATTTGAGAAGAAAGATTTGTCCAAATTATTTTTAGAAAATTAGCACCAAAGCCGAACAGTCTCCATTTCTGCATTTTCATGATCTCTGCGTTTATTTTCATGGCCTCTCCTTTACCTCCTGCCCATTACTCTACAAATCTCCAGGCTCCTTCTCTCACCTTCTAGTTTTCACAAACTGAAACCAGACTGCTCTTTCTAAATCCAAGACCTGGTGATGACACTTTTCCTTCCCCGTGCTTCCTCGGAATCCTTCAATGGCAGCCCATCCCCACCTGACTAACCTAAACTCCTCCCTCCAGAGAGACCCAAGTCAGGCTTTCCATAGGTTATGGAAAATGACCAACAGGGCCAGGCATGGTGATTCACTCCTGTTACCCCAGCACTTCGGGAGGCTGAGGCAGGCGGATCACCTCAGGTTAGGAATTCGAGTTCAGCTGGCTAACGTGGTGAAACACCATTGTAAAAATACAAAAATTAGCTGTGCATGGTGGTGGGCATCTGTAATCCCAGCTACTGGGGAGGCTAAGGCAGGAAAATTGCTTGAACCGGGGAGGCAGAGGTTGCAGTGAGCCAAGATCACGCCACTGCACTTTAGCTTGGGTGACAGAGTGAGTCTCTGTTTCAAAAAAAGAAAAGAAAAAAGAAAATGACCAACAGTCCTTCCTTTCATGGGCTTCTAGATTTTTTAATTCTGTGGGCTAGAAAGTTTAAAATTAACGAAGAGTGATTTATAGATGCAAATGTCTATTACCACCCTTACCCCTTAGAAGAAAACATTTTAACATCTAAAGAGTAGAAAAAGTAAAACTAAAATAAAAGTCCTTTAGGTTCCCCTAAAGCTTCTGTGTCTTAGAGAGAACACTGGCTGATGCTATTTGGTTGTAATACAGTTGTTTGAAATAGGTATTTGCTGTTTAAGGAACAGGGAACTATTTTTGTTGTTTGTTGTTGTTGCTGTTGTTTTCTCCCTGGGGCATTCTGAGTGCCTGGAAGCACTTGATTTGCTTGTGCAGTCCAACCCTTAAATGCCTGGTCATTCTCGGTGTGATCCTGCATCCCAGCCCCTGTCGCCTGACCCGGCAATGAGTCAGCCAGCCCCGTAAGAGGGAGGGCAGGGAGAGACACACGCCCAGCCTGTGCCATTGCCGCTGCCCCCGAGGTGACTTGGTAACTCCTGCAGCTCCCCCAGTAGAGGAGAAATGACTCTCTTTTCTTCAGGCAATGAGACTTCTCCACACCTGCTTAGAATACAGATAAACCGGAACCAGTAAGTCTCTTCTTTGGCTCAGGATCCTTCCTTTTCTCTCCAACTGGGTGGTCTCAGGAGGAAGACAGGCAGCAATAGAGATTGTTTGTGTGCAAGCCATAGTCTGTGTTTCTGTCTAAATATCTCTAGAGGAACAATTAGCTGCTCCGTCCCTAGAACTACATAATGAGTTTTTTTGGTTTTTTGCTTTTTTTTTTTTTTTTTTTGAGACGGGGTCTCGCTCTGTTGCCCACGTTGGAGTGCAGTGGCGCCATCTCGGCTCACTGAAAGCTCCACCTTCCAGGCTCATGCCATTCTCCTGCCTCAGCCTCCCAAGTAGCTGGGACTACAGGTGCCCACCACTATGCCCAGCTAACTTCTTTTTTTTTTTTTGTATTTTTAGTAGAGACGAAGTTTCACTGCTGTTAGCCAGGAGGTCTCGATCTCCTGACCTCGTGATCTGCCCCACCTTGCCTCCCAAAGTGCTGGATTACAGGTGTGAGCCACTGCGCCCGGCCATAATGAGTTCTTAATTAGAATAATACTCATCGAATCTGAGTTGGATATTAAAAAAAGTAAGAGAGAGATGGGCTGCCTGGATGGAGAGTGAGTGAAGAAGTCAGGGAATGTGAGATTTCTAAGGGATTGAAGAACAAGGATGTCAGGTGTATCCAGAGTAGAGAGCTGCCAGGATGGAAGGATGTGCCAAGAAGGTGATTTGTTTGAATGTAAGTTTCCAAAGTGTTCTAGCTATTTATTGCTGCATAGCAAGTATGCTGGAACTTGGTGACTTAAAGCAACACCTACTTTAACATATCTCACTGCTTTTGTGGGTCATGAATTCAGGCAGGGCTCAGCAGGGCAATTCTTCTGAATGATGTAGCTAATCACTTACTGTATTTTATTACTACGTAAACTTAACTCAGATTTAAGGAAAAAATACTGAAATAATTTTTGAGCACAGTTTTTCGGTTTATATTAATGGACTGTGACAATAATTCTATACCCTTGTGGATTTATGCTCCATTTCAATGAATTATCCTTGAAGACTGGGATGACTCAATCAATTAAACATTCTTAGCATTCCTTGAAAGTATGTTTTAGGCGATTTTATAAATTGGTGTTATTTATGGATGCGGTGGCTCACGCCTGTGATCCCAGCACTTTGGGAGGCTGAGGCAGGCAGATCACCACTGAGGTCAAGAGTTTGAGACTACCGTGGCTAACATGGTAAAACCCCATCTCTATTAAAAATACAAAAATTACTGGGCATGTTGGTGGAGCCTGTAATCCTAGCTACTCGGGAAGCTGAGGGCAAAGAATTGCTTCAACCTGGAAGCGGAAGGTGGCAGTGAGTTGACATTTACTCCACTGCACCCCAGCCCTGGGTGGACAGAGTGAGACTTGTCCTCAAAAAAAAAAATTTGTCCTGGTTTCTTAGTATCTTATCGTCTTCTCAACTTCATTCCTTTAATCTCTTATATGACCTAACTCTTGGCCTCTTGAAAAAATAAATGGTATATGAAAACCTCACCAACATCTAATTCCTTTTAGACATGAGAAAAATTATATATTACAATATTAAAGTAAAACAGTTCAACCCAATAAATGAGTCTTAATAGTATGGCTGTGAAACTTATTTATTTTAATATAATATAGTCTTAAAATCTAAAAATGAATAGTTTTAGGAACTTTTCTAAAGAAATTATAGTTAAGATAATCCATTAACCCGGAACTTGTAGACTTGTCAGGCATTTGGCATCAGATTGGTTCCTTTCCCAACTAGTTGTTGTTTTTGTTTGTTTTGCTTTCCTGTTTTGTTTTTGTTTTGTTTGTTGCGAGACAGAGACCTCACTTCTCACCCAGGCCTGGAGTGCAGAAAAAGAGAGAGATAAGCAAATCTAACAAGCATCAAGCATAGACACCAAAATCTGCCTCCATGTTCAAAAAAAAGTAGACGATGGAGAGACACACACAAGACCTGAGAGCTACTTTTGTATATAATTAGTAGAGCATGAAGGTTTCAACCCATAGTTGCCCAGGGTGGTCTTGACTCACATATGACACATCCATAGATAAACAGCACACAAATAAGAGGCTCAATAAAGTGCAAGAGAGAGAGAGATTACAGGTTGTGAGAGAGACAACTATAAGAGAGACAGATCACAGACTACTGAGAGAGGACAAGTAAAAATATAATACTAAACACATATTTAGTATGCCAAATATTATTACCATACACATTATACATATATAAATTGCAAACTGGCTTTGAGAAACAGATCTTGTTCTCATTTTATTCTTAACAGGAATATTCAATGGTTGCAGGGAGCCCCAAAGGCCCGTGGGAAGCATGACCAAACTCAGAATCTCCAGCTGGAGACTATATGATCAAAACAGCAACCTGTTTTTTAGACTGCAGGATATGGGCAAATTCACCGACTGTCGCTGCGCCACAGAAAGGTTTGCTGGAGGCGAATTACTCGTCTGGCCCGAGGTTATCTAGCTGCGACATCTAGAGAATCGCAGTCTTACAAGCCTAACCTTTGGACCTGCGAGCAGCTGACCCGCTTCTTCCAGCCTCTTCCTCACTAAATCTCTTTTGGCCTAATAAATAAGGAGGTCTGTGTTAAAGCTCAGGGCCCTTGTCCCACTAGAGCGCAGGGTGCTCCAAATATACTCTTTTTGTCTTTGTCTTTTATTCCTGCAATTTGCACCACTGTGTTCAGTCCCCTAGGTCCGTGCGCGCGTTACAAGTGGCGCCCTGATTAGCCACAGAATCGAGTGCTCTACAAATGGTTCTTTAAAATCCAGAACTGAGTAATTAACATTCTTTTATGAAAACACATTTATTAACTTTCAAAGAAAATCTTGTAATGGTTTATTTTTAAAAAACTAAAAACCATTATAGTACCTGAGATAAAGCAGTCTTCAGACTGAGTCACAAAGCTGTTGGGAACCCCACCCCCACCAGCATTCTGATGCCCCTCTGACAGTGACGTCATAATGTCCCAGTTAGTCACAGGACCTGCTGGGCCACAGGAAGGAGGCTCTGGAAAGACGCACTAGGTTACTGGATAAATCACTTCAATTTCCCAATGAATTTTATATTGTTTATTTTTATACCTGGAGTTTTTTCCTTGAAAGGTGGCACTTTGAAGCCTACTATTGAAGGTGAGAGAGTATTTAAAACTTTTATAAAAATAGTAGGTAAGAAGGATGACTCATAATTATGAAAAATTGGTACGTGGCAATTTTCTACAGGATGATATAAACTTTATTGTTGGAGATACGGTATGCTTTAGATTTTAAATCTCTGCCCCTAATCCTTTGTGAAGAAAATGCAGTTAGAAAAAGAAAGCAGTAAAAGAAATCAACATATTTGTGATCTATGGTGTGTAATACTTTTTTTTTTAGCATTGCCTAATGTGATGCCTTTAAATGAAGATGTTAATAAACAGGAAGAAAAGCATGAAGATCATCCTCACAATTATGCTCCTGCTAATGAGAAAAATGGCAATTATTATAAAGATATAAAGCAATGTAAGTCTTTAAAATGAATAGAAATGTATATGCAAAAGTTGATTATTCTGGTTTGATTTTAGTCGCCTTTTTAAAATTCCATCACTTCCCCCTGCATTTGTTAGGTATTTTATTTCTACTTCTGTGACTTGCCTGTTCATACCCTTGCCCATTTTTCCATTACGTTGAATTTTCATTTCTTTTCAAGGGCTCTTTTTATGTAGAATATATTAATCCTTTTTATGGTAAAAATAATAAATATTTTCTGCCAGGATGTTGCTTATCTGTAAGCGTTATTTTATTTTATTGCATCTTACTCATTTTTTGAAACAGGGTCTTGCTCTGTCACCCAGGCTGGAGTGCAGTGGCACGACCATGGCTCTCTGCAGCCTTGACCTCCCAGGGTTCAAGCAGTCCTCCCGAGTAGCTGGGACTACAGGCACATGCCATCACACCAGACTAATTTTTGTATTTTTATGTAGAAACGGTGTTTCATCATATTGCCCAGGCTGGTCTCAAACTCCTGGGTTCAAGCGATCCACCTGCCTCACCCTCCCAAAGTGCTAGGATTATAGGTGCGAGCCACTACACCCGGCCAAGCCTGTTTAAGTATCTTTAATTACTGAGAAGATTTCAAGTTTTATAATATCAATTCTGTTTATTAATTTCTTTTTAATCTCTGCATTTTGCGTCTTGCCTTAACAGGTCTTATCCAGTCCAAAATATTGTTTTCTTGATTTTTAAAAATAGTTTTATGTTTTTAACTTGAGCTTTAAATCCAATTATTTTTGTGTATGGCATAAAGTAGGGATAAAGCATTATATTTTTCAAGGATGATAGCCAAGTGTCTAACACCAATTCCCTACTAATGTGAAACATTTAATATAATCAAAACTCTAACATGAAATTAGGCCAATTGTTATACTTGTTTTTTTAAACTGTCTGTTCCTAGAAAAATACCAGTGTTTCAACTTTTATACTTTCGTAACTCATGGTATGAGTGTTGGGTTGTGACTTCCTTTTATTTTTCCATAGCTCTGTCTCAGGAATTGCTCAAAAATGATGAAATATTAGTGGCACCATTTTTATGTGTGTTGTCCATAATTTATCTGTTATCTTGTTAGAGAACATTTAGTCTATGTGAAGTTTTTCCCATGTACATTCTTCTCATATACACACTTGGGTGAATTTCTCTGTTCTCACAAAGAGAGAAATGAATACATATGTACATATTAAATACATGCACATACATTCGTGTGTGTATAGAATTTTGTGTCACCTTATGAAATTTTGGAGAAAGGAGACACATGTGCATGTTCAATCTGTTGTCTTGATCCAATTCACTTTGATCCTTTGGTTGGGGGAATATGTAAACAGTTTTGAATTGCATCCAACTCCACTGATGAGTCTTAAGAGCAGCCTTCTTTATGTGTATGTGTAGATTTGAGTATATGTGAGGGAGCTTAATTGTTATCAAACGATACGCTTTTAAGCTGAAGTGTTCATTCCATAGTCTAACAGAAGGTTCAAGGGCACGTAAATGCTTCTTACTTGGTTTTTTGATAACGTCAATACTAACATTGATAACATTGCACATCTACAAATCTACTTCAGCACCTGTTATGTGCTTACATTTTTTTTTTCGACGAATTTCGCCAATAATTGCTTCTTGGAAGGGGTCATTTGATATAAAGATACTAGTTTGACTTTTTTCAATTAGTTTTAGATTTGACCCTTGCCCCACTTTCTTATTTTATAGATGAAAAAAAAGACTGTAATTTTTTTTTTTTATTAGTGCATATGTTTTAAGAAAAAAAACTCAGAGGAAGAAAAAGGTAAGGGAAAAAAGTGACTTAGCTAGTTGCTAAAGACTTTTGCTTTTGTTTTTAGATGTGTTAACAACACAAAATCCAAATGGCACTGAGTCTGAAATAACTGTGAGAGCCACAACTGACCTGAATTTTTCTCTAAAAAACTGTAAGTAGTGAAAGGCACCATTGCACATGTAAAAGCCATTAAAGAGATTTCAAAACAGCAATAGAGACTGCTGGGGAGAAAAAAAAGTATTCATTCCTAAATAAGACTGACGTTTTCCCTCTAAAGTTGATTCTATGACTAGGATCCAGCTTAGCTCTTGGCCATCCTCTCTGCTTTTCTCACACTTCCTCCCACACAAATACGCTTGAGGCTCCACCTCCATTACACTGATCATTTCAGAATCCGGGGAGGTTCTTGCATTTGTAAACCTCATACATTTGGTTTATGTGGAAAGAAAAATTAAATAATAACTAAATTTAGGATTCTAGGAAAATTTACATCTTTCTTAAACCCACATTTTTACGCCTTTCTGGGTTTTATCTGCAGCTTTAAATGGGGAAGAGAGAATGTTTCTAGCTACGGCAATGTCAATATTGAGAAATGTGAAACTCAGGAATGCCTAATTATTAACAAAGCTACTTGATAATAATGAAATATTTTGAGCAATTTCAAACCCTGGGATTTAAATGAGACAGTGACATTTCAAGGGTGTATATTAACTCAGTAAATCACTCATGGGAATCTTACTTATGCACAACAAACAATATCTTGAGTTGTCTGGGACAAGACATGGAGAGGCAGCTCTTAAGTGGACCAGGTACCTCAAATTCCCTTAGGTTATGAGTTACTGAGTACAGACCGCAGGACCCAAGGAAGAGATTGCAAAACTCTCACTTTTATTTCCACAATTCAGGCTCCCAGAGGATTGTCAGGGAAAGTGGGATGGGAATAAGACATTCCTGCCTTTTTAAATGGTGCTGTGACAGAAGGAGACCTGCTGGCATGGTGGGGATGTTCTAGGGGAGCAAGCCCTCAGGAAGATGGAGATCTGAGGATACCTTTGACTAAGGGTTGCTTGCTTAAGTATAGTCCCTAAAACTCTGAAGGCAAAGGGGGTAAACTGAGGCAATCTAGGTGCTTTTCTCCAGAGGATAAGGGTTGCAAAGCAGAATTTAAGAATGACTTACTAGTTTTTCGAGTGCTGCTTGAATCACTATCAACTCCAGTAACTGATTCCCTCTCCCAACCTTACTTGTCAGCAAGACACCTGTCATGGGTTTGTGGGCTGGCTCAGTGTGAATTTTTTCTGCCCCTCTGTAGAAGTCCTCCTATAATAGGTGCCCTGCACTCCGTATGGAACTTTATTGACTCCTGTATTAAACAGTTAACTGAAATGGCCATCGACTTGAAGAAAGGGTCCTCCAGTCACAGTTGTTACCAAACACTCCCTTAGTGACATACCTCCAGAGGGACCTATTACAGACTGAGATATATACTAAATTAGACCTGAAAACCCTTGATTTGTAGTCCGAAATCTTTATATCCAAATATCTGTTTCCAATTTACAAGCACACTTAATATTCAGCCTCCCTTTCTTGCGTCGTTACACTGAACAGCAGCCATGCTGCTCTGGACAAAGATGATCATTTCGCAGCCTGTGCAGGGAACCGTCTGGAGCCAATTATCTTCTCCAAGAGATCTTCTTTACCTCTAAAGAAAGCCTGTGGCCACATGTTCCTTTTCCTCTCTTTCACAAATTATAGTCGTGTTAATCCCACCTCAGGCACCCCATGATCACAAAAACTTTATTCTTCAATACCTTCTTCTTTCTCCTTTAATTTATTTCAGGAAAATGTTAATGTCTTTCTCTTCCTTTTTCTTTGTTCTTCTCTCTCCTTTTCTTTGTTCCATTTTTAGCTTAAAAAATATCTAATCTCAGATGTGTAGTCAGTATTTTTACATGCCAATCATTCTTTTTCCCTTTTCCTAGATAAAATTGTCAATGCAACTACATATGAAAAATCCGCCAGTGAAGAAGAAACAACTACTAACGAACCCTCTCATAAAAATATTCCAAGTATTTAAATTACTACACTGTATTCATACCTGGAGCATATCATTATGTGACTTAAAAATTTAAGTTTCACTACTCTGAGCATTACATAAAGTCATAGCATGCTTAAAGAATTTACACTGCTACCTTTTAAAGTCACTAAAATCTTTTAAATGGTGAATGTCTAAGAGTCAGTCTTCAGGTATACCTGACAAGGGATGGGAAATGAGCGTTTGTAGAAATAGAATTTTATTTTAATAAAATTGTATCACATTTGTGTCTATATTAAATACGTATTCACAAATTAGCATATATTTATAAATATAAGTATATAGCGAATGTATTTGAAATATAATTCATGTTGCTAATAATGAAAAATATTCTGCCTGCTTGAGGAATAAACTTATCTCTGGTTAGGATCAATTGTTAGTGTTTCCTAAGATTATTTGAGGTTGGGGGTTGGGAGTGGGAGGCTGCAAAATCAAAATGACCATTTTACTTCCCTCTCAAGAATACTGTTCCTTATAAAATATTTGTGGAGCCATAACAACCCAGGATGGCTCTCCTCTAAGGTCTTGAATGAGTGGTCTAATTGAAGAGAATGGATACCTTTGTGTCGTTACATGAAACCCTATTTTCTCCAGTTCATGCAATCCAAGTATGTTTCTAATGTAATTATTCTGAGTTTGCATTTTTAACACTACTGAAAAAAATCTTTTTTGATATGTTTAAAAATGAAAACCTGATCATCCTGGCATTCCCCTTCTTAAACGTCCCTAGGAACTTACTACTAAGTTTGGGGTCAAGTTTTAACTCCTTAACCAAGCATTCAATTCCAAAACAATCTGGCCACTGTGAAAATGTTCCACTCTCAACTCTGGTTACATTCCCCATCCACACCCTTCACTCCAGACTTACCTGAAGCTCCCAGAGCCTACTGAGCCTGCTTATGAGTGCGCGTTTGCTCACGGCTGGAATGAGCTCGCTCTCACCTTGTTTGCCTGGTGAACAATTGCTAGTTCTCTAAGCTTATATGGGAACATCATCTCCCTTTTGAAGGGTTTCTGGCCTTAACAAGTTGAATTAAGCCCTGTGCATACCACCTGTGCATTTCTACTAAAGCCTTCATTATCCTGCTACATAAACAGCAATGATTCTTGTCTGCATCTAAAATTAAGGTGGGTTCCTTGACTGTAATGTCTGAGCCTTGTTTACTTGTGTATAAGTTAGTGCCAACCCCAGGGTCTGACACACTGTAGGAGCTCAAAGTTTAACTGCTAAATGACTAACAAACAAATGACTGTTACTCAAACTAAATTATTTTGTTATCCTGTTGTTTTTTTTGTTGTTGTTGTTGTGTTTTGTTTTGTTTTAACAGAATCAACCCCAAACCTGCCTGCATTTTGGACAATGTTAGCTAAAGGTAAAGTCATACAGCTAGGTAGCTCGGGGAATGTTTTGGTTTTCTAAAATCTTACTTAGAGCTAAGATCAGTCTAAATACCTCTAATACTGAGTTGATAAGTCAACATTTTGTTGTCCCTCATAATAGCAAAATTCAGAACAAACCTAGAAAGGTGATAAAGTGTCACACACTTTCTGATTGCCCACTCTTTACAAAAGTTTTATTCTCTTACAAATGTTAGTTATTCAATTTATTTATGGTTAACATTTTTCAAGTAAGATTCTTGCTCAATATCATTCATCTTTGTGTTTGGAGCAGTGCATGCAAAAGCACACAGAGATGCATGTATAAATGCAAAGCATATATCAAAATATATGCATGCATAAAAGTGTGTATCATAAATATATAAGCATGCATGTATAGCATGATGTACATAGTATTTCTATGCATGTGTGTATAAATGCATGTGCATATATGGATGTACACATGTATAAAGGTAATGCATGTATCACACAGAAATATATGCATTGTATATGTGAAATATATACCATATTCAGTTGATCATTTTTCCATATTCTGTGTTTGCATTCTGTATCACCTACTCATTAATATTTCTTTGTCACCCCAAAATCAGTAGTTGCAACACCTTCACAGTCATTTATGGACATTGGCAGAGCTTTGAAAATTTTTAATTGTCTGACACACACATTCCCAGCTGAAATAGAACAAGGCAATATTCTGCCTTCTTTATTCAGCTCTCGTTCTGTAAATAAGTGTCATTTTTGCACCCCACTTAGTGCCACATTTTTTGCATTTTTTGTGCTTTTTTGTTGATGATTTTGCTATTTAAAATGGCCCCCAAATGTAGTGTTAAATTGCTGGTTAGTGTTCCTAAGTGCAAGAAGGCTGTGATGTTCCTTATGGAGCTAATATGTGTTAGAGAAGCTTCATTCAGGCAAGTGTTATAGTGCTGTTTTCTATGAGTTCAGTGTTAATGTATCAACAATATATATTAAGTGAAGTATCTTTAAACAGAAACACACATAAAACAAGGTTATTTATTGATCAGTTGATGAAAATGCTATGACCAGACTTGCAGGAATCTAACCCTGTATTTACCCTGGGAGGAACAGTTCAGTATTTGCTAATACAGTGTTTATAGGACTTTATAGAACATAACTGCCATGAATAATGAGAGCACACTGTACATATTATACACACATACATACACCATCAATAATTTTAGTAAGTGAATGTTGTTTACCATAACACCAATTTATTGTTTTAACAGCTATAAATGGAACAACAGTGGTCATGGATGATAAAGATCAATTATTTCACCCAATTCCAGGTAAGAACAAAATATTTCAATTGACTGGGTGCAGTGGCTAATGCCTATAATCCCAGCACTTTGGGAGGCTGAGGCAGGTGGATCGCTTGAGTCCAGGAGTTGGAGACCAGCCTGGGCAACATGACAAAAACCTTTTCTCTACAAAAAATGCAAAAATTAGCCGGACATGGTGGCATGCCATTGTACTCCAGCCTGGGTGACAGAGTGAGACCCTGTCTCAACAAACAAACCAAAGTACTTCAATTAATAGACACATAAATACTCTTACACATCTTAGTGTCTTTATGATGATACTGTTTTTGGTGTATGAAAGGCGGTATCATGGTGACTAACATCTCAGAGAGGACATTTACTGTTTAGGAGAGTTATAGTTCCTAAGCATTCTTTTTTAGTTATACTTTGCAGATGACCATTACCACCTTCCTGTTTTGTAACATTTATCCCTGAAACCAAATGGAGGAGGTGAGTGAACAATATGTAGAATGCAGTCTTTTTTAAAAACAGACTTTATTTTTAGAGCAGTTTTGGGTTTAAAGAAAAATTTGGCAGAAAGTACAGAATTTCCATATTCAACCCTCCTCAGTTTCCCCTACGTCTTGCATGATGTGGTACATTTGTTACAATTTATGAACCAATAGTGATTCATTATTAATTGAAGTCCATAGTTTACATTAGGATTCACTCTTTGTATTATACAGTTCTTTGGGTTTTGACAAATGCAAAATATCACGTGTCTACCATCCCAGTATCATACAAAAGTTTCACTGCCCTAAAATCTCCTCTGCCCCCATCAATTCATCCCTTTGTTCCTCTCTCCCCACGAACCCCTGACAACCACTGATCTTTTTACTATCTCTATAGTTTTGCCTTTTCTAGAATGTCATATAGTTGGAGTCATACAGTATGTAACCTTTACAGACTAGCTTCTTTCACTTTGCAATATGCATTTAAGATTCCTCTGTGTTTTCTTGTGGCTTGAGAGCTCATTTATTTTTATCACTGATATTCCATTGTATGAATGTACCCTACTTCATTCATCTACTGAAGGACATCTTGGTTGCTTCCAATTTTCGGCAATTATGAAAAAAGCTGCTGTAAACACTTGTGTGCGGGGTTTTGTGTGGACATATGTTTTCGACTCATTTTGGTAAACACCTATGAATATGATTTATGGATCATATAGTAAGACTATGTTCAGGTGCAGTGGTTTGCCTATAATCCTAGCACTTTGGAAGGGCAAGGTGGGAAGATGAGAGTGGTTATTTTTGTAAGAAACTACCAGACTATCTTCCAAAGTATTTTTGGAATTCTCACCAGCAATGAATGTGAGCCCCTGCTGCTGGATACGGTTTTCATTAATGGCTTAATTATATTAATAGAAGTAAAATAAACTCCTGATTTGAATGGGGAAAACTTCACGAAAAAAACACATTAATTTCCCCCAGAAAACCTCTCTCCTATGAATAATTGGTTGAAAAATAGGATGATGACATATCTAAGACCTGTCACCTCATTTGTGCGCTGGATTGATAGTTGTGGCCATTTGCCTTGTGGTACTTCAAGAAAATTGAGTGATTTGACTAGACGCTGTAATCCCAGCACTTTGGGAGGCTGAGGCAGGCGGATCACCTGAAGTCAGGCGTTCGAGACAAGCCTGACCAACATGGTGAAACCCCGTTTCTATTAAAAATACAAAAAAATTAGCCAGGCATGGTGGCGGTTGCCTGTAATTCCAGCTACTCAGGAGGCTGAGGCAAGAGAATAGCTTGAACCTGGGAGGCAGAGGTTGCAGTGAGCTAAGATTGCGCCACTGCACTCCAGCCTGGGCGACAGAGCAAGACTCCATCTCAGAAAAAGAAAAAAGAAAAAAAAAGAAAGAAAAAAGAAAAGAAAATTGAGTGATTCTTCTTTGTTTAGAAAAGTTATAAACAGGAATGACAAATGCTGGCTCACTTTATAAATACTTTGCCATTTCTTCTATTTAATAGAGCTTGATTGATTTTATTGTTTATTGAGCACATACTACATGTTAGGTGTTGTAGGCACATTATTATGTTAGTCCTCACAGCAACTCCATGAAGTTGGTATTATCTTCATTTTACAGTTAAGAAAACTGAGGCTTAGAGAGAAAAGCTGCCCACGCTTGTAACTAGCTTTTCTGTAACTTCCAGAGATTATGAGTTCCAAACCCTTCTCTAGTTCTGACCATCACCTAGATAAAGAAGATATACTATGAGCACACATCTTTATTAAAAATCCTTTCAGGAGACAGAAAAGCAATTCAGGAGCACAGCCCATTTTAACATAATTTGTCTGATTATTCCCGAAATAATAGACCTCAAAGCATTAAAAGAGTCATTGACAACTGTATACATTTTCATGGTCTAAGGTCACACATTGACAATTATAATTTTTAAAAATCAGAGAATATAGACATGGAAGCTTGTCATTGCTTATGACCTAAATATCGTTACCTAGAAAATAGTGAAAACCCTTGGAACTTTTGAGTTGGCAGATGCTGGGGGTTAGCTAGGGGAAAGGGGAGAAATAACGACATATTGTCATCATTAAATGTTTATTAAGTGAGATATATATTCAGGCAAATATAAAATTTGGCAGTAAAGCTATCATTTCATTAATAGATTTAGTTAAAAAAAAGATTCTTGATATCTCTGGATCCAGACATAATATTATATTTAACTTATTTTAGAAAGTTAAATAAATGGATTCTATTTATTTTTGTAATGTGAAGTACACTCGATTTAGTCTTTTCAGTAATAAAATGGCAAAACTATCTCTTAAGCCTCAGGGAAGAAGCATTCACTATACCCCACCCTTTTAGCTTAAAAGAAAAATTAGTGCATGACCCAACACTAGAGCATGCACCTTTACCTTCTGAAAGACTGGTCACTTGGGTGTAAGTCAATCGTTTTGGATAATAATCTCTTCAGACATGGTAGATTAAATCAGATAAAGTCTGCTATACATGCATTTTGACATCTGGTAATCTGGGTTTGAAACCAGATTTTGCCACTTACTATGTGCTATAGGCAAATACAGAAACTTCTGTGATACTGTAAAACGGAGCTAAGGACAGCTCCTTCAGGATTGCTGTGAAGGTTAAAGAGGAAAGTTAAGAGTGTTTGGCGTTAGAGAGTAGCTTTCTCCTTTGCATTGCCTGTGGGATGGGAGGCCGGCCAGTTAGTACTCTGGATGGTGGAGGGCTTGCTTCTCTGTATTTGCTTTGCAATCTTTACTCCTTCAGGAAAACACACTGATCACCCTATTTTCCACTGTATTTTCTTTCTTTTCAGAGTCTGATGTGAATGCTACACAGGGAGAAAATCAGCCAGATCTAGAGGATCTGAAGATCAAACTAATGCTAGGAATCTCGTTGATGACCCTCCTCCTCTTTGTGGTCCTCCTGGCGTTCTGTAGTGCTACACTGTACAAACTGAGGCATCTGACGTAAGTCTACAGACCTCTGCAGTCTTTACAACAAATGCATGACATCGCATTCTCTTCTTCCTCTCTTTAGTAGATTCTTAGGAATATGTGACCTCTGAATTTATCCACATGGCATTCAAATTGATTCCATTTACCGTATTCAGATGGAGCATTGGGCTGTCTTTAAGGGAATATCCTACTTGAACTTTTTCCCAATAGTCATCCAGAGATAGAAATAACCTTAGTCAATTGGAAAGGATAAAGAGAATCTAGATATGCTCTTTTTTATATAGCCCTGGAACAAATATATTCTGTTCTAAATAGCACATCTGCTTAGCATCTAATGTTTTTTATTCAAGCAAGCCTTGAGACTTTCAAAAAACAGCCAGTCTCTATCACCTTTACACTGTGAGACCTGTCCACTGGCTCTTTCTTATCAAAATATTAAATTCAACTCAAGCCTGATTAAGGGAATTATTTAACATTTTTCAGGCAGTGTAACAGATTACCTTCAAAAATCCTAACAATTGCTTAATGTTCATAATGATCATCAATTCCATTCTTTTCATTGTGGTGTTTTTGATGAATGGTGTATTTCTCTGGCTCATTAAAACTGTGATCCTAGGTATTTATTCCCCTTCATTCAATTTCATTGTACATGTTTCTTATTAAACTTTCATTAAGGCAACTTTTACTATTTTAGTAAATTGGTTTATAAATTCTAGAGATTTGAAACATGCTTCAAAGTGTTAAATATAATCAAATTACAATGAAAGAAAAACTAGGCTGGCCGTGGTGGCTCCCGCCTATAATCCCAGCACTTTGGGAGGCCGAGGCGGGCAGATCACGAGGTGAAGAGATCAAGACCATCCTGGCCAACATGGTGAAACCCCGTCTCTACTAAAAATACAAAAAGTAGCTGGGCATGGTGGCATGTGCCTGTAGTCCCCGCTGCTCGGAAGGCTGAGGCAGGAGAATCATGTGAACCTGGGAGGCGGAGGTTGCAGTGAGCCAAGATTGTGCCACTGCACTCCAGCCTGGTGACAGCAAGACTGTGTCTCAAAAAAAAAAGAAAGAAAAGAAAAAGAAAAGGAGAAACTATATATCATTTATATAATGTTACTAAGTAACTAATACACTGGGCAAAATTCGTATATTTTAATTTCTGAATGCTTGTCTAAGCTAAGTTACAAATGTACACAATTAAAAACAATTCTTGATATATGTTCTTTTCTTCCTCAGTTATAAAAGTTGTGAGAGTCAATACTCTGTCAACCCAGAGCTGGCCACGATGTCTTACTTTCATCCATCAGAAGGTGTATCAGATACGTCCTTTTCCAAGAGTGGAGAGAGCAGCACATTATTGGGCACCACTTCTTCAGATATGAGAAGATCAGGCACAAGAACATCAGAATCTAAGATGATGACGGATATTTCCACAGGCTCAGATGATGAGATGCACTGAGTAAGAGGTGGAACCTGGTGAAGAAATCATACTGATGAATAAATAACTTTAATTCTTTTGTCATCAAGAGAACTTTCTTTTTGTCTTCTGTTAATGTCATGAGTTTGAAGCTCTGCTGAGACATTCTGGTGTCTTAAAAGGAGGACAGACTCAATAAAAATTATCTCTCAGTTATAAAATTTAATGGAAAATGCACAAGAAAATAATTTAAGGTGTGAGAAACTCATCAAGTAAAAGCATTCCTGGAGAGTGACTTTGAAAGGTATTTTCTCTAGGCTGGTTCATTTTAAAACAAGGACATTTAGATACTTACCTTCCCCCAGGGGCATTTTGAGAACATCAGGGAACTTACCACTACCTGTGCGCCCCCTCACCACCAGTGAAGCAAAAAGAACACACCTGTTCATGTTTTATTGACAAAACAGTTGTGCCATCAAGAGATGAAACTAAATTAGTGGTAGGAACTCCTAGCCTTCTTGAATTGTTTAAAAGTCATCAGGGGCTGCTCTCACATGGCAAAGAGTAAGAAAGAAAAGATATTTTTCCATTTCTTTTTTCTTTTCTTTTGAGACAGAGTCTCGTTCTGTCTCCAGGCTGGAGTGCAGTGGCGCGATCTCTGCAACCTCTGCCTCCTGGGCTCAAGCAATTCTCCTGCCTCAGCCTCCCGAGCAACTGGGATTACAGGCACACGTCACGACGCCTGGCTACTTTTTGTGTTTTTAGTAGAGATAGGGCTTCACCATGTTGGCCAGGATGGTCTCGATCTCTTGACCTCATGATCTGCCTGCCTTGGCCTCCTGAAGTGCTGGGATTACAGGAGTAAGCCACCACACCTGGCCATACTTTTCTATTTCTAAAGTATCCATAATTGTTTGAGACAACACGGTGTTCCAGAAGAAGAGAGATGAAGAGGGGAATTCCAGCAGGTAATTTCCTAGATGGGGACTCATGGACCCTAAGCCTTTACCACTGAAGTGCCCTTCTTTCTCTCTTCCCCCAGGCATCCAGGATTACTGTGTTCCACTGAAAGAAAAGCAATGCCTTTCAAAGACTTATTCAAGTTTATTAGTGACTTTTGTGGCTATCCATACCAAAAGTATTTCAATTTACAAAGACAAAAAATAGGGATAATGTTTCCTTTTTATAAATTAGTTTCGGCTGGGCGCAGTGGCTCGTGCCTGTAATCCCAGCACTTTGGGAGGCCCAGGTGGGCAGATCACAAGGTTAGGAAGTTGAGACCAGCCTGGCTAACATGGTGAAACCCCGTCTCTACTAAAAATAGAAAAATTAGCCGAGTGTAGAGGCACATGCCTCTAATCCTAGCTACTCAGGAGGCTGAGGTAAAAGAATTGCTTGAACCCAGGAGGCGGAGGTTGCAGTGAGCTGAGATCGCGCCACTGTACTGCAGCCTGGGTGAGAGAGCCAAACTACATCTCAGAAAGAAAAAAAAAAGACATTAGTTTGAAGTGGAGGGGTTTAGGGACATGCATCATGTCTTTTCGGGATATGTATGAATATGGGAGAAGAACTTAGGGCATGTTTCATCACCCTCTTCAATTCTTACCATACCAACAGCTTTCATTTACTTTGTTTCATTTTCATTTACAATGTTCTAAAGCGCCTACTTTATAATAGGCGCTTTAGAACACTGTATCACATTAAATCCTACTATCTTATGAAAGGTGAGTTTATTTTACAGATAAAAAAACAGAAGTTCGGGTAAGTCAGATAAATTGCCTAAGAGCACCTGCTGTGCTGTGCTTCCAGTCTGAGGTTCTCTCCATGATCCATGAAGGTGAATAGTCAGACTAGCAACAAAAGTCTTTAGGAGCAACACAGGTCCAGTACCCAAGACACATAAGGTTCCTTAACTCGGGTGTTCTTTCGGCTCTTGGGAAATTGTTTTCCTCTCCTTTAGCTTGGGTATCTATAATCCTTCTTCCCCGCGAGAATAAACACACATTTTACTCTCACCTGCCACTTCCCCTACTATTCATTGTCAGAGTCCTTCACTCCGAAATTTCACCCTCGCCCCAGACTCCAGCCCAGTCTCGCTCGCCATTGGTTGGGAAAGCTACGGAGCTCCGCCTTTGAGTAGTGATGGGCTATATAAGAGGGCACCCTTGAGGGAAAAGGCAGTAGGACAGGCGCTCACCTTTGCCTGATCTATACCAACAGTGCTCACAGTTTCTGAGCCAGTGGTGGAGGCTTGGAGCAGCAGCCCACGCTGCCCTCTGCCGGTTACTTTTGCCATTTTCTGTGCCCTTTTGACAGCTCCAGGGATCGGTGCCAGCATTTGTACTGCCAGTTCAGGCATCTGCAGATCTGGTAGAAAAGTGAGGGAGGTGGTTGCAGTTGCTTGGAGGTGCTCCAGGTGCAAAGGAGTTGTGTTGAATCCACAGGTGAGAAAGGGACGCGAGAAGAATATCAGGTGGGCTTGGAGAGAGGTTGATAACCAACTATTCCCACGTTTTCTCTCCACCCCTCCTTAGGAGGTGCCAAGAATTTTCCTGATCGGAAAGAGGTGGAAGAGCCACTTTTCAATTACGTAAAAAGTAGTAGTAGTAGTACTAATGGTAGTGGTACTTGTCTGTGGTACTAAAGTAAAGCATTGTAGAAAGTTGAGTACAGCATTACTCTGGCTACAATATCTAAAATGACCAAAAGGGATATGTTAACTAATTTTAAATGGGCTACTCATCCTCAGACAGTTGGCATAGTTTGCCTTGTAAAGTGCAGTGAAGGTATTTTGAGGGGGCTGGAAGGGGAGTGGGCACATGAAGAATGTCAGGAGGTACTGGTGTGTGTGGTCTCTTTTCCTCCCCCTCCTGCTCTAAAAGTGAGAAGAGGGTCTCACAACCAGTGCTGGTTGGGGAGAGGTCATCTCGTTTCTCACTGCTGACCCTCTATGCCATCCATAACTAATCCTTCATTTTCTGGACAGGTTTTCTGGACCTCTGACCTGCTTGCCCTGGAAGGCATCATCAAACCAGTCCCTTTTCAGTCTATCAGTTTCTCCCCCATTCTGAAACTCCTTATTTCCTTTCGCTGATGCTCCCTAATCATCCTCTTCCCCAAACCTCAAAGGGGACTTTCAATTCTGTTCCCCCATCCCCATAGGTGTATTTTGCTGCTTTGTTTTCCTCTCCCTTAACTACTCACAGTGACACAGGTGAACCCCCAAACGGGGGCTCAGTCCGGGAGGGTTCTTGGCTTTGCTCAGGAAAGAATTCAAGAGCCAGCCAACAGTGAAAGCAGGCAAGTTTTTAAAGAGAAACATACAGCACAAGTGGCGGTTCCATAGACAGCAGGATAGCCCTGGCACAGCAGCACTTGTGGACTGCCGGCTAGCTATATTTATACCTACTTATAATTACAGGCTAAGTAAGGGGTAGTTTGTTCAAAAACTTTCTGGAAAAGGGGCAGGGAGTTTGTGGAACCATATAAAGTAACTTTCTGCCATTGCCATGGCATTTGTAAACTGTCATGGCACTGGTGGAAGTGTCTTATAGCATGCAAATGGAGAGCCCAGAGCAGGAGCTACAGCATGGGTTGCTGCTATATTTATACTCACTCTTAATTGCATGCTAATTAAGGGGTGGGTTATTTTAAATTTTCTAGAAAAGGGGCAGGGAGTTCCTGGAATCATACAAGCGAACTTCCAAGTGTTGCCATGGCATTTGTGAACTGCCAGGGCTCTGGTGGGAGTGTCTTTAATAATGATCAGTGAGAGCAAACAGGTTGCTTTCCTTGCCCTCTTTCGGTTTCTGGCAGCTTTCTCTGCTACATCCTGTTTTTGATCAGCAGGAGCCTTACTGGTGCTGGAAAAACAAGTCCTGATCTCCTACCTCCCTGCTGCAATGGAACTGAAGATCAGCTCCTATGGACTGGCTATGGTGGGAAAGAAGCACCAGCACTCGCCTTAGAACTAGCAGCCAAGTCCTTCTAAAGTGCCCAGGAGTAAGTCTTTCCAGCATCACACACCCAGGATCAGCAGCCTTAAGTTCTAGCCCCTATTCCCTCTTTCTTCCTCCCTCCTGCCACAAGCGTGTCCTAAACATGCCGAACAGTGACGGTGCTACAGAGGTCCTGATTGACGGTGTTTTTTGCAGGCCTTTTGGGTGGGCCCTCAGTTCCTGAAACCCTGGGTTGTAGAGGGAAGCCGTCCCAGAGATATTTGGAAAGGTGGTTGGCTTGGGCGGGCGTCAAGAGCATCTCTTCCATCCCTCAGGAGGAGTGGGCACCAGCTCCCCAGTAACCGAAAGAACTGCGGGGCCCGCGGGGCTCCACGGTGCCCGGGTAGGTGGACCTACGCGCTGCTCAGATGGGGGCGGGGCCAAAGTCACCAGCTCAGGAAGTGGTGGGCGAGGTGCTTGCGTGGGCGCATGAGCTCTTTGCGAGGACCAGTAAATGGCATTTCTTGGGAACGCAGGATCCTAGGAAGGCGCCTAGGCTGCCGTGCACAGATTTGCTGGTTGTTAAGAAACAGGTGCAAGGTATCCTCTCTCCATCACTCATTCCCAACGTGGAATTACTGTAAGGAGCTTCCCGTGCTCTTGTGAAAGGTAGAAAAGGTAAGAAGAAAACTGGCTGTTAGGCCTCTGTTAATTCTGGTGAAGACAAGGAATAATTACCAATCAAAGGAGCTGTTCCCAATCAGCTCTAGCCTGAGAAAAGATTGTAAGCATGCCTTCAAACTTCAAAATTAACCCTCCAAATCTAGCGTCTGGTGAAGTTAAAAAACATAAAAAAAGTAACACTGTTCGTGGCAGGGAAGGAAAGTATAATCATGTTTTTTCAGTAGTGCTCCCAAAGCACTATTTAACAGCCCTTTCTAAATCATTGCAACCAAGTAAAACCCAGCTTAAGCCAAAAGGCACTTCCTCCGCCTGCTTATCTGGAGTTTACTGCCCTTTCCAAGTTAATTTAAAGAGAAACTAGATCCAGGCCTTTATCTTTGGATCCTAAGATAATTCTCATTCTTGTGCGTGCGCCTCTCCTTCCCCATCTATCAAAATGTCACATTTCCACTACATTGTTTTGGATTTCAATCACGTTAATTTCTTAATAGGAAATGAATGGTAAGTTGAAAGACTGTTGAGCCAGGAAAAAGCTTATTGTGTGAAGAGGAAGCATGTGTGTGTTAACAACATATGTAAGCAATCTAAAATAAATTCAGAATTTTAAAAAACAATATAATTGGGACCACATCTCAGATCTGAAATCTCTTGTTTGGGAGAAGGGAGAAAGGTATAAGTTATCCTGTAATTGATGCAGGAAAGTGTATCTTGGGAAGAGGTCGTATTTCTCCTAGTAAAAATTAGGGAAGGAGTTGCCAGGGTGTTGTGGACAGCTGTTACTTCAAGCCTGTGTCTTGTCACTCTCCTGAGTTTCCTCAGTAGTGTGGATCTAGCTACTCTGGAGTTTTGTCTATCAATTCTTAGATTTTCATGGTTGTTAAGGGCTCGGGGTTATTTTGTGTTTGAAGCATTCTATAGATATGAGGGACCTTAGAATGTTGAGGCTTACTAGAGGAAGGAAAGACTAATGCTTTAAATACATTTTTCTTGTGGACAGTGGAGAAGTATCAGTATATAAGACTACATATGGTTCTGTGTAAGTGATATTCAGTTATTCTAAGTTTCCAAATTGTCATTGCTTGGTAATGTGAATATTTTCTATAGAAAGCATGTCACGTTTGACACAAACAATTATGCACAAACAAGTCCTGTCCTACTGATGTATAGTCACATTAGTAATAAGGTGTAAATGTATTTTAATCAGTCGTGGGAATGAGCTAGACATTTGAAAAACTTAAACAGTGATAACCAATGGTTTCTCATTCTCCTTCTAGAACTGATCACTTGGTAAACTACCTCCTGTATTTAAAACTGGATTTGGAAGGGTTAATGTCTTTCTGATAGAAAGCTACTTCTCCAGGGTATTCTAGAATCTGAATTTCATCATGATTGTAATGATAAAACAAAACTTATTTTCTACTGACAGTCCTAGAAATAACTATGGAAACATTGGAAAGAATTAACAGAAAAATGAGTCAGTCAAGGCTGAGGTTGAAGAAGAGTGATCTCCAAATGAACTTCAGCACTTGAAGAACTGACTCAAAGCCCTGTGGCCTCCTTGAATGACACAGATGTGAGGCAAGATTTTCCTGAAAATAGCCTGCTCCCAGAGGAAAAGGGAATTGCACCATCAAAGAGCAAAGACAGCCTGGAAAGTATGTGATGGACCTCAAATGTCCAGAGACTGATCTTGAATATGATCCTTTCCTCAATTATTCTGCAGAGCTACTTGGGGCATCTAAGCAAAGCAGGATGAGGCTGATCAACAGCACTTCTGCCACTTGAAAACATCTGTGAGTGAAGATTGCCACACGTCCCGGGAGAGCCAAAGGCCTTCTGTTTCACCAATAAGAATTAAAACATCGTCCAGTATATGAAGATGATCTTATAATAGATGTGCCTCCAGTCATACCCACTTCTAAGAAATCTAAACTATTTAGAGGCTTCAAACATCATTATAAGGATAAATGGATACATATCATACCTCTGAAGGAGAAAAATCTTAAAATTAGTGGCACAAAGGAAGAAAAAAGATAAAAGCCAACTAACCACACAAATAGATGATGACAGTAACAAATTACAACTACTTACGTTGCTCATGAAAACATCACCAGGTATTAAAACTAATGTAAATTGATATCATGTTAAGAGTACCTAAGAAGGGAAAATTTGGGGAGGAAAAAAAATCATGACTGCATTTTAGAAGGAGGTTCATCTTCTGCACCTCTCAGTGGCAATGAAATAAAGTTGTAATCAGTTACCCAAAGAGCAAAAAACATGTAGAAACAAATTATGATACTCAAAAAGAAGAAACTAGATGTTGGTATTCACCACGCCAGTTCCACATTTCTTATTCAGATGACCTTGCAAAAGACAATGTGCCAAGAATGCAGGATAATAATCAAGATCTCATTACTTTTGAAGACAGCAAATTAGCCAAATTTGATTCTGATCCAATCAAGTCTGATAAGGGGTGTACTGAAGATGACACTCCCTGTCATTCTGATGACACTATGAAAGAATGTCTAAGTTTCTAATGAGTTCACTGAAAGTGAATCTCATAAGGAAAAGACTGCTAAGCAGGTTAGCATTTTTTTCTTTTATTCTTGTTTTCTTAAATCTAAGAGTTTTGCTTAAATACATATTTTATATATGTTCTAAATTCAATATACATGTACATAACACACATATTCTAATAGTTTTGATCAATAATATATTGGAATGACAAGGCAAAAGCCTTGATAAGTGGCCAGCCATAGTGTCTGGCAGAGTTGACTGTTTCCAGAGGCCATCGTACTATATACAGTAACTTATAGTTGACTTCTTAAATTAGAGGATTCTTTTTTTGTTTGTTTTTGAGATGGAGTCTCAGTCTTTCGTTCATGCTGGATTGCAGTGGTGCAGTCTCAGCTCACTGCAACCTCCGCCTCCCAGGTTCAAGCAATTCTCCTGCCTCAGCCTCCCAAGTAGCTGGGACTATAGGTGGGCACCACCCCACCCAGCTAATTTTTGTATTTTTAGTCAAGACGGGGTTTCACCCTGTTGGCCAGGCTGGTCTTGAACTCCTGACCTCAAGTAATGCACCTGCCTTGGCCTCCCAAAGTGTTGGAATTACGGGCGTGAGCCACCGCTCCTGGCCTAGAGGATTCTTTTATAGGAATCTATAAGTGTAAAACTATCCAAATTCAATTTTTTGTGAATTTTTATTAAAAAATTTGTCCACTACTTTGTTGCTTACATTCATATGGCTTTTTGAGAAACATGCTAAATTTGCCTTTACTGTGCTGAAATTGGATAATTCTTTTTTCCACTAGGCTTCAGAAAAGGATGATATGTTATATTACAAAAACACTTCTGGACCAAAAAAGAGAATTGCACAGTCTGGCAAATTTGATGTGAGTTATTTAGTTCTTCATCTCCACCCAGCTCAAAACTTTATATAAAGTGTATACCTTGTTATTTCCAGTTTTGTTATTCTAGGATTACTTATCCTTTTGTCCACTAGGCGGCACAGTTTACTGGCAGTCAGTACATTGATTCCTGCTTGTTAGCATTTTCTTGTCCATTTCCCCACCCCACCCACAGATCTGACATTTTCATTAAAAGCAGGTATATTATCATTGTATAGCCTCTTAACTACAAATTTTAAAAGTCGATCCTCATTATTCACAGATTCCAAATTTGCGAATTCACCTACTCAGTAAAATTGATTTATAACCTTAAAATCAAGACTTGCTATGCTTATGAGATCATTCACAGACAATGGAAGTGGCAAAAAATTTGAATTGCCTGACATGCACATTCCCAGTTAAGGCTGAAGAAGGTGACACAGCCTTCTTGCTTCAGCTCACACACTGTAAACAAATGTCCTTTTGCAGTCTGTTTAGTGCCAGGTTTTTTGCATCTGTATGCTTTTTCTTGGTGATTTTGTGCTGAAAATTGCCCCTCATTGTAGTGCTGTCTAGTGCTCCTAAGCATAAAAAGAATGTGATGTGCCTTACAGAGAAAATATGTGCTAGATAAGCTTTGTTCAGGCATGAGTTTTAGTGCTGTTGGCCACAACGGTATTAAATGAGATGTCTGTAAACATGACACATACATAAAGCAAGATGATGCATTGATTGACCAAAAAAAAAAAAAAACTTTATATATATATATGACCAGAGACTTACCTGAACCTAACCCCCCATATTTTTTGTTTTAGGAGCAATGGATTCAATGTTCACTAATTCTGAGTTTGTGGTGACTTACAGAGTATAACTACCTGAAATAACAAGAATCAACTTTAGTTTTTCAGAATAATTTGAAACTTCTGTAATTTATAAGTGCTGAAGTTCTTTTATGACATATAAAAGATAAATTGAAAAAGCAGTTCAGTGAGTAGTATTCCTTTAACACTTTTGTGTTTAAAAAGTGATATTTAGGCCGGGTGTGGTGGCTTATGCCTGTAATCCCAACACTTTGGGAGGCCGAGGTGGGTGGATCACGAGGTCAGGAGATCAAGATCCTCCTGGCCAACGTGGTGAAACCCCGTCTCTACCAAAAACACAAAAATTAGCTAGGCGAGGTGGTGCGTGCCTATAATCCCAGCTACTCAGGAGGCTGAGGCAGGAGAAGCGCTTGAACCAGGGAGGCGGAGCTTGCAGTGAGCCAGGATCACACCACTGTACTCCAGCCTGGCAACAGAGACTCTGTCTCAAAAAAAAAAAAAAAAAGAATACTTAACAAACTTTCTGCATGGCAGAAAGAGCTTATACTTCCAAATCACAAATGAAAACCTGAATTTCAGTTCTTCATAGAATAGTTGGATGTCCTTGGGCAAGTTATTTAATTTTTCTGAGCTTCAGTTTCCTTATCCATGAAAGGAAAATTGAGTGCCTACCCCAGAGTTAAATATATAAGTACTTAATAAATGCTAGTTATCTTCCTCTTATTGCTTATAAAGTTTTTTGGTGGCTAACATTATTTTCCTTTAACTGCAAATGTTGTGGTGTTTATAGTTTTAATTTTATTGTGCTATGTAAAAAAAAAAAACCAGGTGTGATGGCGCATGCCTGTAGTCCCACCTACTTCTTACTCCCTGTTACCCCCTTGTATATAATTAGTTGTATATAAATAGTTGTATATAATTCTTGTATATAAATAGTTTTTGGCTTTGTAAATAACTGTTTGCTTAGAATTCTCACAAGTTGAAATAATTGGACTAAAGATAAAGAATTTTAAGATTTTTAAAGCATGTTGCTGTATTGCGTTCCAGAAGGATTTTGACAATTTATAGTCCTCAGTGTTTTGGAGTTCTCTTCCCTTACCTACGATGCACATTATAATTTTTTAAAGCCTGCAAATCTGGTTAAAATTTTATTGCCTTATCTTATATTACATTTCTTTAATTACTAGTGAAGCTAAACATTCTTTCACATGTTCCATTCTCCTATAACAAATGTTGCTGTAGAGAAGTCTGATGCTTGCCTGCTATTTCACCCTCTGAGTCGCTTGATACTTTTGTCTGGTTATCCAAAGGATTCTTCCTTTAATTCTGAAGTCCAATAACTTTAGTAGATATGTCTTATTAGCTATTCTATTATTTCTGTCTACATACAAAGTATCACTTGTATGAAGTTTAATTTTTTAGTTCAAGAAAACTTTCTTAAATTATGTTTCAATAGTTGTTCAATTTTATTATTTGCTCATTTCTGAGGATACTCCAACTATGCATGCATTGGATCACATGTGGCATTACAAATGTAGTCCATTTACTGTATGGCTGGCTGTAAGGCCCCCAACGAGCTTCTATGACAGAAGAAAGGCAAAATTATCAATCTTATCAATTTTTCATCATTCTCCTTTGTTTTATGTTGATGCCCTATAGACTCCAACCAATAAAGAAATCATTAGACCACTCAGGGTACCAGTCCCACTGCTAACAAGCCCCACTGGAATCATTCGGGCTCAGCACAAGCAGTAGAGATAAAGGCTGCCATAACGAGTGGGAAGGCTTTTATTGATGCCACTTCAGAACAGAAGAAAAATGCATCTACATGTCCAGTCTCTCAGACCCAAAGGAAAGGTTTGGAAAAAAGCTTTTTTTAAAAAAATCACTTATTTAAGAAATGGGATTTTACTTCATTTAAAAAAATATTTCCTACAAATCCACATGTTACCAATTATAGTTGAGTCAATGACACAGTTTTACATGAAACAGTATGATTGATATTTAAATATTTCATCTACGTCTGTTTTTTGAGACACAGTTTCACTCTGTGGCCCAGGCTGGAGTGCAGTGGTGCAATCTCGGCTCACTGCAACCTCTGCCTCCCAGGTTCAGGCCATTCTCATGCCTCAGCCTCCTGAGTAGCTGGGCACAGGCACGTGCCATCACACCTGGCTAATTTTTTTTTTTTTTTTTGTATTATTAGTAAAGATGGGGTTTTGCCATGTTTTTTGAGACACAGTTTCACTCTGTGGCCCAGGCTGGAGTGCAGTGGTGCAATCTCGGCTCACTGCAACCTCTGCCTCCCAGGTTCAGGCCGTTCTCATGCCTCAGCCTCCTGAGTAGCTGGGCACAGGCACGTGCCATCACACCTGGCTAATTTTTTTTTTTTTTGTATTATTAGTAAAGATGGGGTTTTGCCATGTTAGCCAGGCTGGTCTCAACTCCTGACCTTAAAGTGATCCACCCGCCTCGGCCTCCCAAGTGCTGAGATTACAGACATGAGCCACCACTGCCGGTCAATACTTTGTTTATCTCTAAATGCTACACAGTAGTAGTACTATTTTACAAGTTTTTTATCATTGCTTTATCAATTATCTAAATTCATTCTTCTGAATTATACTGGAGTTGGTTATTGGGATTTTTTTGCATTTGAATGTTGTCTTCTTCCAGGTTGCATGTTTCAAACCTGTAAAGGAAGTGTTGTGAAATTTTGAATTAATGATTAAACTCTAATCATCTGAGGTTAATGTCATTAAAATTTATCTTTTTTTTTCTTATTCATGAAAACTTATTAGAATATTCACTCACAACGGACCTGCATCTGGATGTAGTTCTTTCAAGAGAAAACCCAACTGCAAAACCAACCAGATGGTTCATTCCTGTCAAAAGTATTGCTTCTCTTTCTGTATAGGCGTTATAAACTAAGTATGAACATGAGACTTGTATTTTGTCATATCCTGCTTACATATATAGAGTCCCTGGAAGAGTGGCTATATTTTTTTCTGAAGCTTTCAAATTCAGATAAATGCCAGACCCAATAGAGACAAATGTCCACATTTTTTAGGTTACCGATGAATGCAGTTATT